AGTTAATTTTAAATAAGTATAAAGGTATGCTTTTACCATATTGGTTTGTTTTGCTGTGTTTGATATTGTAGATAATGGTATCTGAGTTTAACATGTGTGATGATGTAAAGTACTCCTTTACACATCACAATATAATGACTGATTGTAAACACTTACCTGTACTTACTTGAAGACTGGTTATCCTTGCTTGCTTTAAGGAGCAAAGAGAACTGAACGGGTTCACCTGTGATTTACTTACCTGGGTGACTCCATCCTCTGTAGAAGAGGAGGGAAGGACAAAACCTGTAAGAAAAGGAAATTGTTTAATAAGTGTACACTGTATTGTGAATGTGTTAATGACATCAAATGTAACTGTGAAGAATAAGTGAAGAACATGAATTATTTACAGTTGAATGTAAATATATTCAAATATCGGGAGCACTTGTTTTAACCCAGGCCAGTAATGGTATATTCTAGGGGAGGAGCACCCCTAATATAAGCAGCATTACTGGGGGGTACAGGGAAAAATCCGTTCTTTCAGCTTGGTGGAAGATTGAAGGTGATGCGAGTAGAAGACCTGTATGACTTTGCAGTCATTGGTCTGTTGCATAGTTGTAGAGACTATTTTCGTTTTGTTTTCGTTTGTTATGTGTGCAAGTGTAAATATGTAAATAATCCTGAGTGTTGGTGTGTAAATAAAGGTGACGGGGAGAAGAACTCTTGGACCAGCTGTATTTTATTCCAGTTACTTGGACCACTTGCCTGACGCTACCCATAAGGTGTGTCCCCTGCCACAGCATACTGCCGGGTCGTGGGACGCACTTTATCACAACATGGTTAAGTCTGATAGGCAGGGCTGTAGAGCAGGGTTGAAAGCTTCTGTTTGAGCTGTATATTCTGAACATCTCAGGAAACCGAAGAAAGCGAGGAGAAACAGGGCTTCTAATGTAGTGGATAGTTCTTTAGGGAAGAGACCAGCGCGGAGTATCTGAATGCAGTGGTGGAGGATGTCAGAGGTTAAGGGCAGCTGACGTGGTGGAAGGTGAGGTTTGTTTCTTTGGATTCCTTTTAGTAAAAGTATAATCTGAGGGTGGTTAGCCATTGTGTGTTGGGTTCCGTTGATAAGCTTCGTAAAGAAATTGATCCCGGCTAAATAGACTCTTAAGGTGGAAGAGCGAATGGCTAAATATGAACTGGCAAATGTGAGGTAAGCAGCTGTCGTTGACAGATTGTCTGAAAGGAAATGGAATGCTGTGGAGTGTGTGGAAGCACTGGAAAGATTTCCATCCGGACCAATAGGTCAACAGGGTACAAGGGGCAACCGCGCTTAAGATTATTTCTTGAGCTTGGAGGAGGAGCTGAAAGAACTGCTGGTCAGTTGGAGGATGGAGTCTGAAAATGGAGGAGTCAGTGTCGGATGAGGCTCTGCTTGAGGTGCCAAGGCTTTGAATTTCTGAAATTGAAAACGAGAGAGAGAGTCAGCAATAGCATTCGAATGGCCTGGGATGTGAATGGCTCGAGGGAATAAATTGATGTTCCTGTCTGTTCATGTCCCCAGAGAGAGAGTGCGGCTATTACGACCGGGTAGAGTTCCCACAAGGCAGAGGAATTGCCTGATTCGAATGAAAGCAAAGCGGAGCCAAAGCCTATTGAGGGAGCTGCATCAGTGAATAGTTGCAGATCTTCAGGGACTAGGATAGCGTCTTCATAGAAAAAAGAGATGCCATTCCAGTGCTGGAGGAGGAAGAGCCAGAAGTGGAGTTTCAAGATACATGCATCATCCAAGGAGAGGCGGTGTAGGAGTGAGGGAATCGAGGAGGCAATGCTGAGGAGGTGGGAGATAAAAGAGCGTCCTTGAGGTATTATTCGAATTGCGTAATTGAGATGCTCAAGAAGGGAGAGGAGCTGCAGCTTCGAGCATCGGGGCTGCAGCACAAATTCTGACATGGCTGTAGCAACGTGATCTAGCTTATCGGGTGGAAGGGAAGCCTGGAACAAGACTGAGTCCAGCTGAATGCCAAGGAACTCAAGAGAGGTAGATGGACCCAATGTCTTCTCCGGAGAGAGGGGGATACCGAGACGCTGAAATGCAGACGAGAGGGTACAGAGGCCATACGCAGGTGGGGAGGAAGGGGGGGCCACCACGAGGAAGTCATCGAGGAGGTGAAGCACATAGGGTAGTCAGCAAGTCATTCAGCAAGATCCAACACAAGGCTTTGGCCAGAGTGTCAAAAATCTTGGGGCTGCTCTTGCATCCGAAGGCAAGTCGAACTGCAAAATAAAATCTGCCATCCCAGCAAACTCCAAACAGATGCCAAAAATCAGGGTGCAGAGGGAGGATCTTAAAAGCCAAGACAATGTCAGCCTTGGCGAGCCAAGCTCCATGGCCGGCCTGCTTGATGAGCGAAATCAGAGCTAGGTACATACGCAAATCCTTGGCAATAAAAGTTGCGGTAGGGATATTTGCTTCCAATTTGGGAGGAAGCTTCGAAATCGCTTGCTTGACGGTTGGCAGCAAGTACAACTAGACGGAAAACGGGTGGAAACATGTAATATGGTTTCTCATGTTTATCGTTTCCAAAATATTTTAGTTCAGTGTGACACAACTTACATATAGTGTGGCTCTTGTCCAGGTCCTTTTCCTCTTTAACTTCATAGAAGCCAAAGTGCTTCCATACGCTAGCTCAGGGGTCGACATACGGCTCTTTTACTGTCTTGATAAAAATAAAATAATCCTCCTTTGCAGTAAAATAAAGCTGTGCTGATTGTTTTAGATGTCCTTAAACACTGCTAATTCACCATCCTATAACCCTGAAGGCTGGCGTGCAGACTGCAGGTCACATAGCAACGCAATCTCATCTAGCAAGTAACATCAGCTAAGGAAAAGCCGAAGAGAGAGATTTAAGACGAACATTTGGAGATGAATGGACATTTATAAGCACTGCAGTTGGTTTCCTGGTACGTTAAGTCTGCAACGAGAGACTGTCAAACAATAAAAAGTTGCAAAGATGAAGTTGCTTCTCTTTCGAATTTTCCCGTTCCACCTTAAATAGTGCTGCATTTACATTCTGCGCCTCAGTCAAAATTAAAGGTGGAACGGGAAAATTCGAACAAGAAGCTGGCGAATGAGAAGTGACTTCAGCCTCGTAAAACAGTCAAATGTTGAAAGACGTTTTACAAGAAACTGTTCTACTTTTGAAGAAAAGTTTTCTGGCGTAGATGGGAGGAAAGCGGCTATAGCTAAAGCTTAAAGCAGGGCTAAGTAAGTCTGCATTTTTGTTTATATTTTTAGCCTATACTAGGACTTTATCACATACTGAGACATAACTTACTGGACATAAAATGTTGTGGCTCCCAAGGTGGTTTGATTTTTGTTGAAAGGACAAAATGGCTCTTACAATTTGGATTATCGACTCCTGACCTAACCTAGCTTTTAATGCAGAGGGTGCTGGTCAGATTTCTCGCTCATCCAGTTGTGTTTTTGTTATGTGCCGCCACAGACTCTCTGGACGCTGCACTTCCGCACTTCCAAATTGCGCATTTTGCGTTCCATCAACATTACGTTATCAATTAAATATTTAGAAAATCGATTTTTGACATTTGTGAATCGATTCAGAATCGTCCACGTCCGCATCGCGATGCATCTAAGAATCGATTCCCCCCCTCACTCCTAATGTCATATCTGTTTTATTGATATACCCTGCAACTTCTGAGGAGTTGTAGACATAATGAAGGGTAAATGCAACACAGATTATGAATTAGAACAATAAATAATTGAATTATTTTTAAAGAGTTATTGTACATATTCTCACGTTTTGTGTGACGTCACACTGTATAGTCGCTGCCATTTTGAGGACTGAATCAGGGAGTGACTATGCTTGTATTGATGCCTTCAATTTGCTGTGCTTTGTGAAAGATTCACCCGCAAGACGCGACAGAAGCCGAGAATGTCGAGAAACTACACAGACCTTTAATTCAGTATTTTTTAAACTCCAGGCTTGGAGCTCCTGCACTGTATAGTTTAGTGTTTTTCTCTGCTGTGCACACCTCGTTCAGCTCAAGAAGTGATTAGTTAGCTAATAATATAAGGTATTTTAAGGGCTAAAACAATTATTCAAGACCAGGTACCACAACCCCCCTATGTTTGTCTGGATTGATAGAATTTGGTTAACCAAAATATTGGATCAAACATTGCAGTGTGAATTCCAGTTATCTTGGCCTACTCTACCTTATACCCTCCCTGTATCAGCCATTGTGGACATTGGACCTTTCTCCATGGCCTTTGGCATGCCATAGTTCAACAACAGCATAGCTTTTTCTGCCATCAATAGGCCAGGAATTATGACTTGGTTTTATGACTTGCAATGATGCAATAACAGGGTGGTTCATAGTTCAATATGACAAGGGAGTATTTTTAGGCATAAACTTCCTACTGTAGTATAAGGGAGAATCCCAATTCTCAAATTCCCATTCACACCTTTGTAAATATTTGACAAGCAGGCCTTGAACATGAGCCATCACATTTTCACTTAGTCGCCATAACACTAAAGAGAATGGCTTCAATTGGCTTAAGACATAAAAAGCAAAAATGCAGTTTGCACAGGAATTACATGTGACATGTCATATTTTAATTTTGCTCTTGGATGTTCCAAACAGTTGTTCATGTGATGCAATAACTAAAAGTAGCTTAATACAAAAAATAATAGACTCACCTGTAATGTACTGCAATGTCAACTGAAAAGACCAAAATTAAACTTGAAAAAAAAATTTATCAAAATTTTCTACATACATTTCCTTATTAAATACATTAAATATGCTTGAGTGTAAGTTAAAGTGTTTTCATTTGAGCATACTCAGAAAACCTATCAAAATTACATACAACTGAGGAACCGTAACTAGTTACTACCTTATATAGTTTGGTGAAGTATCCATGGACAGCATATGCAGCAAAGACAGTTTCAAAGCTAGAATAAGTGAATTTTATTAACAGTTTCAAGCCTGAAGATGCATGAAGATTCTGGTTATGGGATCACCATCTTTGAGTGTAGAATCTTCAGCACAGCATGCCTAATCTCAGTAGTTTGCAGGGCATATATGACAGGGTTCAGAATACCTGGGCCAACATGGAAAAGTAGCGCAGCCCCTTTCCGGATGTCTGCATAACCAGGGAAACGGTGGAGTATGATCATGCTAAACCCAGATATCCACATGATTAAATAGACAGTCAAGTGTGTGCTGCAGGTTTTCAAAGCCTTGCTGTTCAGAGTTTTGTTTTTACGATTAATGCAGACAGCTGTTATTTTGGCATAAGTAAGTACAATGCATCCCATAGAAAAGCCAAATAAAGCAGCTGTGTATGTCAAGCCATTTACATTATTAATATAAGGATTCTCACATGACAGTTTGAACAGTGATGCATTATCACAGAACGGATTTTCTATTAATATTCCACAGCGATTCAGCCTTATTGTCAGAGCTAACAATATGCTCACACAGACTAGTGCTACACCCCAGGCTGATGCAGTCAGTTTAGCCACCATTTTAGTAGTCATAACAGTTGTATAGTGCAGTGGATTACATATGGCGATATATCTGTCAAAGGCCATAACCATGAGTACAGTGTGAGAGGCAGCAAGATACATGTGGAAGCAGAAGGCTTGAGCAACACACTCAGTATAACTGATGTAGCGTTCAGATTTTGGCCTTAAAAGGTCCCCAAGCAACCGAGGGACAATGACAGAGTTTCCAAATGCATCATTAAAGGGAAGATTACAGAAGAGAATGTACATAGGCTCATGTAAGCTTCTTTCCATTGTTATAAGCAGAATGAATCCGATATTAGCTACCATAATGAGCAGATAAAAAATCAGGAAGAAAAGAAATGTAGGAAACAAGGTTTGCTCAGAGACAACAAGTCCCTCCAATAGTAGTAAAGGACTATTAAAGGTCAGATTTTCCATTGAGAAATGATATGACAGCTGTTTGAAAACAGTGGAAGGCAGCTGGATGTTAGAAAGTTCAATCGGTATATAGACACAAACATATCTTTAAATCTTCTGTCGTTTACATTTGCATTGCACTGACAAATATTGTCTTAAATATTTAGTCCTCATTTTTCAAGATTCATAATTCTTCAAGTCCCCATTCTTTGAGAATTCCAAATAATATTGTTCCTTCTTGTTTCTCTGTTTTGCTCTATTATTTAACAAAGGTAACAGTTATTATCTTTTAGCCTCCCTAGATGATTAGGAAGTCTTCACATGATAATAGAAAAAGTGTCAAAAAAACATCTTGGGTCAGTGTTATAGTATATTATAATGTTTCAGTATTATAATAATATGTCAGCATTGATCTATTAATCATCAGTCATATTCTGGGAAAAGAAGATCAGCATCAATACAAAACAGCAGAGCAATTATTTTAGATGCCTGGCTCTCCATCCTTATATTGACATTCTGTGAAGCCTTAAAAGAGCTCATGGGATCTGAAGTGTCATAACAACATGTTGTTGTTCAAAGATGGTTCCAAGCTAAATACGTAATGAAAATACTCAAAACCCCTTTGTGATCTTGTGTTACATTTCCTTGGCTTACACACATTTTAAAACATAAAGTTTAGTTAAACAGATGACCTTATTGCCTTGAAACACATTACTTTCTCAAAGAAACAATTTGAGGAAAGGATATTCAAACATATTATCCACCATTGCCTCACTGAATGGTTGACAGTTTACAAACTGATTCACTTAACTCGTACACTGACCTTATTTAATTGAGTGTTTCAACAATATGGATTTGGCATTGTTTTTTGTATAATTTTTGTTTGATGATTGTGGTTTTTATGGTGTACATTGGTAAATAGCATAATATCTGTATGCTAGGGCAAGCTGGTTGTCGACGTGTCCATCCTTTTTGCTGTCATATGGTCATACCTGACATACTAATGTTAAATTCTGTTTTTTCATCCCCTTGTACGTTCTAACTGCACACACTTGACTCACTGAACGTATCCAGAATCAGCATCATGTCTTACATTAGTTATATATTCTGCAATTTTTAATATTTTTTAAACGTAATTGAGGAAAAATTCAACACCTGTTATAGCTTTGAATAATGAATAACAATTATTATGAATGAATTATTGAACGTGCAACAGATTATCTATTTCTTTTTATTTATTAAATGTCTTATATTATCCAGTCATATAGTGACATAGTGGTTAATCTAAATTATTTGAGCACTGTTTTGCCTTACGGTGCCCTGCGTGTACCTCTGTGACAAAAATGTATTTTGAAAATATGTTTTAAGCCAAAATCTGATCTCAAACCTATCGTAAAGCAATATTTCTAGAATCAGGCATTGCATATGTAACTATTTCATGTAATAGTTTTCTGTGAGGTAGCTTTTAGAATCAGTTAGTTATTAAGCACTTTAAATGTCTTATTTCTGTCACCACCACTGTGAACCATTCTGACCTGGCAAGTTTCTCTAGAAAGGAGCATTTTAAAGATTGAAATAGAAAATTTGAATTCTTTTCTCCAAGTCTGAGTGACGAGATAAGTGACGTAACTGTACTGTCCTACGGTGAACTCACCTCTTTCCGTGCCTCCTAACAACTTTGGCGTGCAGTATTATTCGATTTCCATTGGACTTCATGTATTGGAAACGCCACAGTTGGTCTCTGCGTTTAGTAGGCCAAATGTTGTTGTGTTGCTGCCGTTCGGTTTTAAATTTTAATTAGGTGTTTTTTGATATGCTGCTGTTTTATTATTTTTAACTTAAGTATGTGGTTAGTAGGCTATAAGCCAATCTGAATGTGTCATATCAGTCATCATTAATGACTGTGCACTCCCACAACAGTTTAGCATGATCCCACAAGATTCTGGCACTTTTTACCTTCTATAGAACAAATACAGATAATAACCTGGCATTATATTAATTCCATGTGAATCAATATGTTAGTAAAAATGCCATCAAATTTGTGGAAAAGGGGTTTCTTAACCATTGTGTGGTGCTCGGGTCTGTGGGACCCATTTTCATTGTTTACCAAAAGACAAAAATATGCAAATTATTATTTCAACCTTAGATTCTTTGGCCTTCATTTTCTGTGAAGAACATATACTATGACACATTTTCACGCCCTACACATTTATATTACACATGCGGTGTTGGTGTGAACCCTTCACAACAAATAAGCCAACGGCAGTGCATAGTTTCTGAGCTCTACAGCTTGGAAAATTGGCTGAGAGAATGGCAATGGGTCGTTTCCTTCACACACTGCCCCAGGAAGTTCGAAGCTGGTGGGACTGAATAGCCAAGAGCCAAGAGAGAAGGGAGGGCAATGCACACACAACCTGGAGGGAGATCCCCCATCCCCCATAATGGGAGATAGAGGTAGAAAGGACCACATAGAGGACAGAACAGTCTCATCCAATAGGAACAAAAGGGCTAGGCAGCCCCTGCGGTGAACTTATGCCAACTGTACTTGGCATCCAAAGCCCACATTCTAGTTGGATTGTCACTTCCAGGAGCCTTTTCCTATGTCATGCCCCACATGAAAACTGTATGGATGGAAGGAGGTTTTGAGCTGTCTTCAATACCAGTTGCACAGTCATCCTGCCCCTGGACTTTGCACTGCCATGGCTCTGTTTTAATGGTGACACACTAGTGTTCAGATTATTATTGTTTAAGCAACTTCTTTGCTGACCTCTGCAGATATGCATCCAAAATGCCCTTTGTACACAGTTCATGATCCCATCAATGAACACAAGCTCACTGACACCATTGTAAAAAAAAAGCAACTTTCACATTTCCACCTGTGTGTTTTACAGGACCCTTGATGTGGTCTAGTAGGAATTCTTTACCAGGCAATATGTACACTCTGGCCCTGATTTACCATGGGTTTGTATGTGTAAAACATGTACACACTTGACAACACCTGTAAAAATGTGCATGCTGATCTACTAATAAGGTCAAATGACCAAAGTAGCACATTCTGTCTGTTTTGCATTTTTGACTCAGAAAACAGAATTTTCTTCCCTTTAGACTGCATAGTGCTCCTGCCAGTCTCCAGTGGCTGACGGATTTGTGCTTTGCCCCATCAATATGACACTGCTGTCTATTTAGATGGTGTGACTGTATGCTTAGGACATTGGACGGAACATCTGTTTGACATTTTAAAGGTAATAGAAAGTCTGTGTTTAGGCTGTCAGCCCAAATGTTCTGTCAACTCAAAAAAAGTGCTATTTAGGGCTTACAGCCTGGGGTTCCGAATTACGCAGCAACTCCTGAGGCACCAGCCCTCAATATCTTGTCCTTCTCAGGTATGACCAGAAAAGAGTGAGTCTGAAATGGGCCAAAGAATCTCTGAAAGCATTCGGCCAGCTCATGACGGCTCACTACCAATCCGGACTTCAGTTGCCCCATCATTATACAGACAGATGCCCTAGACACTGGACTGGGAGCAGTCCTCACTCAGGACTTCAACAGAGAAAGCATCCAGTATTTTACATCAGCCAGAAGCTGTTCCCTAGCAAACAAAGGTATGCGCATGTATAACAAGAACCCCTGGTCATGAAATGACTGTTAAAGTATGCAAGTACTACTTTTGCCCCTGACAGTGAATAAATGTTATTTATATAAATGTATGTTTGAATAGGAAAATCATCAAGCTTTGCGGCATTCTGTCCCTCAAGGACTGGACTTTGCCACCCCTGTTTTAGAGTCTTACTTAAAACTTGCTAATTTCTAACCTTTTCCAGACAAGCTTTCTAGGTTTATGACTGCAGGTCTATGACTACAGAATCAGGGTCACAAGCCTGATATTTATTTACAGTAAGCGTGCATACAAATAATTTTGTGGTGTTCTGCAAACGAACATTCAATTAAAGAAGGCAACACTAGCTTGCTAATGACTTCTGTTACTCACTTACACACAACTGACCAGAGCTTAATTTAATTACCACTAATTTGGGACTGATGTGTCTCAGACTGATTCAAAGGCCTTAGGAGACAAATAGCACCAAACCAAGAAAGAATACTATGAAAGACGTAGACGTACATGTTTTATATACTAATTATAATTATCAGAAAATTAAATGTGCCTTGAATGTTTACAATTTTTTGAATGATGCGTAGTAATTACATCCACTCTACCCTGAAATAGACAGAAGAGAGAGAGAGAGAAAGGGCTTAAAATATCTTGAGATTTTATTATGAGCTCCCCTCATTAGTTAAAAGTCAAGCACATGATAAACATTCATTAGCTTGTAAATTTGAGTCCAGGGGGGTAATTATTATCTAGCATCTTATGAACACCTATTTTTAGAGCTAATAATGGCTGTGCTACAGTTTGTCTTCCACTGTGGAAACAACTTGTCACAAGTGTCTCATTAAGAGCTCAATATTACCTATTACGACATTGTTTGCTTGGGCAGGGTGCAGTTTGTAGCACATTCTTGACAATGCACAGGCTGCGTCCTGAGCAGACTGTCCAGTATGCATGAACATCCTTCATGTGGATGTCTCTGTTCACTTGCACTTTATTTATTGATTACACACAGCGTGGTATCACTGAAGGAACTTAGGCTATAATAAATTTGGCAGGGCAGGCTCAAAACAAGTAACTCCCCAACCCCGGAATCAGCTTACTCTGGAAGACATCCTAGAGGAGTACCTCTATATGTTTGAGGCTATAGCAGAGTGTGAAGTCTGAGACGAAAGAAGTTAGACTGAGATCACTGGCCTCTACTACACAGACGCAGTTCAACTGGCATACTTCTCCCTTCCACAATAAAAGGCCCAAGATTATACAAAGCTCTTGGATGAAATCCTCACACAAATAGGGACAGTATCTGCCCCTGCAGCAGCTGAATATCATTGCTGTATCTACAAACCCGGTGAGCTTCACAGACAACAAATGTGCCAGCTGCAGTGCGTAGTCTCTGAGCCCTAGAGCTTGGACAGTTGGCTGAAAGAATGGCAATGGGTCATTTCCTTCACACACTGCCCCAGGAAGTTCGAAGCTGGTGGGACTGAATGGCCCAGAAAGCCTACCAGACACTGTACAGGCCACACAATGTGCCAAGAGTTCTCTCTCTTTGTCCCTCTAAAAGAGAAGGGAGGGCAATGCACACACAACCTGGAGGGAGATCCCCCGTCACCCTATAATGGGAGATTGAGGCGGAAAGGACCACATAGAGGACAGAACAGTCTCATCCAATAGGAACGGGAGGGCTAGGCAGCTCCTGCGGTGAACTTATGCCAACTGTACTTGGCATCCAAAGCCCACAGTCTCCTTGGGTTGTCACTTCCAGGAGCCTTTTCCTATGTCATGCCCCACATGAAAACTGGATATGGATGGAAGGAGGTTTTGAGCTGTCTTCAATACCAGTTGCACAGTCATCCTGCCCCTGGACTTTGCACTGCCATGGCTCTGTTTTAATGGTGACACACTAGTGTTCAGATTATTATTGTTTAAGCAACTTCTTTGCTGACCTCTGCAGATGTGCATCCAAAATGCCCTTTGTACACAGTTCATGATCCCATCAATGAA